GCGGAGGAGTGTGCTGGTGAGTTGTAGGCTGGTTATCAGGCCAATGTGTCACATTGGGGTGTCCAGGGGCACAGAAGAGGGAAGTGAGCCGCGGCAAAGAGGCCAGCGGCACACAATACAGGAAAAACACAGGAAAAGCTCATCTCACATCATCTGCAGCTCCGTCCTCTTTATGCATTCACACTTATATCACTACATAATCATTTGTTTCTGATTTGCAACATTTAGAAATGTTTTTCCCCGCTGCTTCCTTCTTCTTGCGTCCCCTTTTTCTTTCTCTCCTCTTTGGTAGAGGACCAGGTGGGAGGGGGTCTGTTGGCATTCTTGCACCGTGTGCTTTGCGCTCGACCGGGCCTTGGCTGGGTTCCATATCCCCTCTCTACCCTCTCTCGCTTCTCTGACTCCCGCCCCTCCTCCTCCTCCTCCCCACTAAACACCCCCCCTCTCCTCAACCTCTTCAACTCCCCTTGGTTGCTTCCCCTAACCACTGCTCCTGCCAGCAACTCTGCACTCTTCAACAAGCCCCCGCCCTCACTCACTTCTCTTGCTATCACCTTCCTTAACACTTCCTCATGTATCCCCTATAATTCATTGCCCCCTTTCCTTTCCTTCCCCCCCCTTCACCCTCTTCCATCTCTCTTCCATCCCAGCCCATGGCAGCAGGTCCAGCCTCTGTGACACAGATGCACCCAGTTGCTCTGGGCGCTCGACATGGGAACAAAGCATTGGCGGGGCCCGTCTGTTACAGTGTGTTTCAGGGCGTGTGGTGTTCGTGTGTGTATATGTGCAAGTATGTGCACATGAGGTGGAGATGGGAGAAAACAGAGAGATGGTACACACAGCCAGATACTAAATCTGGTCTCAGGAGTTTGTTTAGGCTCAACTTTTACTTAAACAAAACAAAACAAAACAAAACAAAAAAAATATTTCGTTGGTGTTTGTGTGAACACTCAGAGGCAGTTTTAAAGGGTAACTTTGGTACGTTTCAACCTGGATCCCATTTTCCAACATTTTTGTGTCTAAGTGACTAATAGGAACAACAATTTTTGAAACGGGTCTAGCGTTTACCAAAACCACTGCAGCTGGCAGCCGCAAAACAGGCTGTAATGTAACCACTCAGGGCAATTGAGCACCGTCAATTTACATCCACTTAAAGTGTTTGTTTTTGCCACTGACAGGCTCAGATTGCTATTATAGATGTCTGACACCATTTTGAAAAGGGTCCCTATAGAGATAGACCTTTTTGTTAAAGATCATTTTTGTTTAACCAGAAACAGCCCCAAAATTGCTATCATCAAGCCAACCAGACTCCATTTAAATAAACAGTAATTTTAGCGTGTATTGAGGCAGCATATTTTCACAATGAACTCTGTGATTTAAGGGTTAATTTTAACCAAACCAGAGTTGGTGATTACTGGAATAGTGGAAGTGACAAACCAAGATGGTATTTGAGTTTTATTTAGCTCCTGTCGTCTTTGAATGAAGCGTGTTTTAAGATGATAAAATTACACGTTTTTTAAATGGAGTCTGGTATATTTGACGATAGCAATTTTGGGGCTGTTTCTGGTTACAAAAAAACAATCTTGCTCTTTAACAAAGAGGTCTATCTCTGTTTGGATCTTTTCTATAATGTTGTCAAACATTTATAAGAACAATCTGAGCCTGTCAGTGGCAAAAACAAGCACTTTTAGTGGACGTAAACTGACGGTGCACAATTGCCCCAAGTGGTTACATCGCAGCGTGTTTCGTCACTGCTGGCTGCCGCAGTCATGCTCGATACTGGACCAATTTCAATAACTGTTGTTCACATTAGTCACTTATACACAAAAACATAGGAAATAGTGTCCAGGATGAAATAAACTGAACTTGCCCTTTAAGCAGTATCTGTCTTCATTTTTCGAGGGTGATGCAGGGGACACATCCCCTTTTAATATTTAGAATATGTACGTTTTTCCCCCAAATAAAAACACTTAACTAGCAGAGGACTTTTACTTTGACAAAATTAAAGACATAAACACCATAAATTGGTGCAGAAAAGGCAAAATTGATGCAATAAAATGCACCAGAATGCAGGAAATTAAGTGTCTGACGATCAAAATTTTCTAGCAGACGATCCCCACCTTTTGCCCCTCCATGTTGGAATGAAACCTATGTCCTTTCACACACACATACAGTATGCTGAGATAACATGAACTCACAGCTCAGGTCATATAAAATTAAACTTGTCTCACTGACGGGTTTTGTAGACTTATTAGCATTTTTACATGATTCCTTATGAAATCCTCTGGGTTTATATGGTGTGTGTGTGAACATCTCCACATGCGTCAGTACGGATGATGTCACTAGTGTATGAGGTCATCATTTGGTCTCAGAGTGACATTTTCCTAAGGAGGTTTGTCACCTCTAATTGATCCAGGTAGTGTGTTCAGGGTCGGTTCGCCCGGGCTCTATCTTTCCACTCCAGCTCGTTGCTATCGCCTCCATCAGCACAGCGCTGATGGCGATCAGCGAACTCTGAGATAGTGGACCTGAGGTCATAGATGCGGCTATGTGGTGGGAGTTACAGTTCATACTTGGAAATGCATTAGCAGACACATAAATAAGCACAAACAGAGAAGCAAAGAGAGCAGCAGACACTGAAACATGTACATTTGAAGCATTTTCTTGCTGCAAGGACAGGCTTCAATCTTCACCTGCTCCCTTTACCTTTTTTCTTTTTTTCATTCCAGGGATTTTGGTGGGGACGGGAGGGCAGGTAGGAGAGAGAAATGAGATGCCTCAACACTCCACCGCCCTCCTCTCTCCATCCAACTCCCCCACACACCTGGGATGGCCATTTCATTTCAGAGTGCAGCAAATGGAAAGGTGATCTTAATCTACCCTGTTTCCCTCTAACCCCCCCTCCCTCTCTCCATCTCCCACACACAGAGCCTCATACCGCTGATGGACAGCACACTGCTGGTTGCCTAAGCCTGCTGCCAGCAGACCAAATTTAGTGATAGAGAATCCTGGATACACTTTGGTTTATTACCTTGAACAAATTCTCCTCATTTCAAACTCAATCTTTGTTCATCTTGTTATCTTTTCGGTTTGTTATCCCGAAGCGGCAGACGTGTTCCAGATGACAGTTGACTTCGGTCAAAGTGTTTCGACATGACCTCTTCAATACGCAGCGCCACTCTGTTAGCTCATTACTCAGTGTTAGGTGTCTCTCACTGCTGTTAGCTCTTTGGTCATTGCAGTCACAGGCAGAGGTATGCAATAGCCATTGATTTCCTATGAATAGCCTGCTGCAGGCCAGTTCATTAGGAAGGTGATCACAAACCACTGGATTAACTGAACTGGACGCTTGCTGCTTTCGAGAAATATGAAATTCTGACATGCTCTTAAAAATTGAAAAGTGTTTCGACACTCAGTAAAAGGAGTGCGGACAACAAATAAGTTTGGACGAATTTAACTTTTCTGACGCTCAAAAATGAACCATTTGGAGAAAGTTAAATATACCCCACGAGAAAATCAAGATTTTATCCTTTTTAAAAATATAATTTAGTCTCCGAGAAGGATAAAACATCAGAGCGATGGTCATCTCGAGCAAAACAAACCTCACTTTCTGCCTCCTCTCTCGCTTCTTCTCCTCAACACATGGCTTGAGGCTGGACCGAGGCTGCAGCTCCACCCGCCCCAGCCGTTACTATGGCAACGCTATCTGGGCCTACCAAGACCTGAAGCCGAAGGACATCCTGGACAACAATACAATAGCAGCACAGCCAGGGTACCTGAGGGACTTAGACCTGAGAGGCGAGATCTGGGGGGGTTGCAGATTGAGAGAGTAAATCCTCCCTCTTTCTCTACCTCCCTCCCTCACACACAAACACAGTCAGGATTTAGCCCTTTCGCTTGAGAATCTAAGAGGTAGCGGGAACAATACTTGGCTTTAAATTATTATTTTTTTCTCCATTATTTAAATCTGTAAAAAAAGAAATGTTTTTGTTAACCATCTTGAGTGGATTTTCTGGTGAGTAAAAAACAAAATCTTAATTATTGGACAGGCCTCATGGATGTAGAGATGGTTAATGTAGTTCGATGATGAGGCAACCAACTGCGGAGAAAGGCTGTATGTCATTTGTGATTGGCTGGGCTTGTTTTCCTCCGCATGAGAGCGGTCAGGGTGGCTGCGGCGCTGCTGACTGCGAGGATTGGGCCACACGTCCCGCTGCTGGTGCCAGCAGTGGAGAGTAATAGAGATGTTTAGAGTCTATTTGCCTTGCTTGCATTCCTCCATGTACTGCTGCTAAAATAATAAGAGGGAAGGGTTACCTCAGGTCGGCCCTAACTGAGGGATACGGGGAACATGCATTGTTGTCATTGGCTCCATCTGAGTATCCCTCTTAAAGCCACAGCACGGAGCTGAGGAGCCGGGCACCGCTGCCCACTTTGCAGAGGCAGCAGAGGGAAGCATGAATGTATAGTTGTGCTAAGAAGTGTGTTTTTGTGTGTTTGCATGTGTCATATTGTGGCATTAATATAACAGACATCATCATGAGTATGAAGTACTATCTTTAGGAGTGTCAAAAATCTGTCTCCAAGTATCAATTATTATTTTATTATGTCAACGGTTAGGGAAGACATTGTGGCAGTGCTGTTGCCGTTGCTGTATATCAAAGCAAGTATTTGTATTCCATTGAAGTCTTAAGAGGATTTTATCCAGCGTTATGAAGTGTTATTAGCCCTGCAGCAGCCCACCAGGCAATTGAAAATCTTTATTATGTAGAAGAGGGAGTCATGCTGCGCACCGACTGAGTTTACCCAGTTTGCGTGCATCTTTTGTCTGTCAGCTTCTGACGGTTTCCAAACATGAATTCGTGTCTATTTAAAATGTGTTTATCTCTCAGTGGGTGCAGGCACAACATCGTAGATGTCCATGTGTGAATAGCCGAGTGTGGGACCTGCTTAGTCATGCTAAAACACCCGTCTTACACCTCCTCTGTTTCCTTTTGCAGGCAGCCTAAGAAACAGGATGTTAATGCTTGACGGAATGCCTGCAGTCCGAGTCAAAGCTGAGCCCCTGGAATCGGAACAAGGGGTAAGAGAGCAGTTGTTTTCCAGACAATTCCCTTTTTTTTTTTTTCTCCCCCTGCTTTCCTTTCCGTCTTTCCTCCTCCTGGCAATGGGCTCATAATTACTCCCAGGCCTAAGCAAGTGAGCGAGTGAGTGAGTGTGGGGGCTAAGAGGAGTGGTCGGAGAGCATGGTAGTAAGCAGGAAGAGGAGAAGAACCAAGGAGAACAAGGAGGAGGAGGAGGAGGAGGAGGAGAGCCACAGCTGGAGCAGGAATGCATTGGGGGGTTTCGGGGGAGGTGACTGGGGCCAGCAGAGAGTCCGCACTGGCTGGGGGTGATTGCACAGATGTAGCCACTGCTCCAGGGAGGAGGGTCACATGGGAAAATCTTATCTCTGCCCCTTTACGTCTCTCGATTTCCCTTCATCCTCCCATACTCTTATTTCTCATAAACACATGAGTAATCTCTCGCTTGTGCGCACAAATACACACAGACAAACACACCACACTATACTCTTCCTCCGCAAACACTTATCACAGCTCCATCTCTTCCTCTACTGTATCTCATGCATGCCTCTGTTCTCTCACAGCGCTCTCTGTCACCTCGTTGCTCAATATGAATGTATCACAAAGAAGAAGTTAATTGTCACGACATGAATTATGAGCGTTCGTAATTTTGCACCAGGAACATTTTGTTTATTTTTCTTAAAATGAACATTTTTATCTCATATTTAAGTTTCATGTTGAAATACACTGCACTTATTGACCATGTTTGGAATAATGGAGTTACCTCATGCGAGGTTTTCATGGCCCACATGCAGTATCAGTGCTCTCCGGTCCAACATACCTAGAAATAAAGTGGTCTTGTTATGGAGAAGCTGTTGCTAGGTTACGAGGGCTTTGTGTTGCTGCCACAGCTGTGTGTGCAGCGGGTGCGGGCCACTTAATATTTGTAATCATGATGAATTAGTGTTCAGTTATTATTGATTTCCATTCATAACATATCAATAATATCCCTGCCCCTAATATATCATCGAGCGCACTTTCATGGGAGAAGAGCAAAATAGTTTCTGTTGAGCCGAAACCGAGAGCATTAGTCCGTGATGGATGGGAAAACCACCAGCTGCTGATAACCCATCAGCTTACCTCAGTTAGAGAATTGTTCGGCTGCATAGGTGCTTTTGTATTGATACAAATCGAAGTGGCCTCTCCACATCTAAGAGTTTGATGGAGAGGCAGCAGGTGGTCACTTTCTGGGTGTCCTGCTCTCAGCTGTGGCTCAGCGGCTCAGGAGCCGTGCTCCCGAGCTGCTACCTAATACCTCGGGTTTGAAGTCATTCTCCATACGTGTAGTGATGTCAGTCACAGACAGGATGTGAGCACTGCAGCCCACACGGCTTTGAAGTGCACCGAGATCCTATCTTGCCCTAACAGACTGTGCTTCCCTTCAGACGGCAGACAGACAGTTTAGGCTGCTGCAGAAATGTGGTCTTCATTTGGGTGGCGGGGGGCCAAGGGCTTGCTGGAAATGGTCTGCCTTGTTAGACAATTCGCCCGCAAGGGGCTGGAAAATCTGCCCCGCTAACCAGTATCCCCTAATAAAGACAATGGCACGAGGACAGAGGCAGGCAGGCGTGTTGAGCATATCTTTATATGTGTGTCAGGGTGTGTGTAGGTTTGAGCGCATACATGTGTTTGTATCTGTCAAAGTGAGAGCAGGGGGTGGATCAAGTTTTCCATTAGTGCTGCTTGAGATGTGTCTGGGAGCTCCAAAATGCAAATAACTTTCTGCTTTCACTTTTGCGTAACTCTATACACTGTGTTGTTTTGACCTTTACACACAAGTGTTTTGTTTTTTACACAGGAGCCCACAGGATTGGCCAATTTTAACAGGTTGTCAGTGACTGAATGTAAAACAGTAAAACACTTCTGAATAAAGAGATAGAACAGTCTTTTTTTATACACAAAGGAAAAGTGGAATTCTTCACTTCAGCTGTCTTTGCCACAGCATAATTTGTCTGGTATTAGGGCTGTCACTTTCTCAAAAACAAAATTCAAAATTGTTTGTTCAAATTCAAATTTCACACACAGCCCATGACTCTTAAAATAAACTGCCATGGAGAATCGATGTTTCACGCTTGACACGCTAACATAACTGTAAGGCAGCTGCATTTTACAGTAACAAACAGCCTCACTCCTGGTCTTGATTGTCACTATTAAAAGAGACAGTTTTGGCCAAAAAAGAAAAAAAAATTGTCTGTAGCTGCAACACATATCTGAGCCTAGTAACAGTCTTTTAAGTCAAATTTAGCCAGTCAACATTACTAATAGATCTGAATTTGCATTCATTAATATGTTTTACCACAAGGTGGCGACTCTGCAGTGGGCTGTTTTTGAATGTTTGGTACTTTAACTTTGCAGCGTTGCTGATGAAAGCAAACAAATTTGTCCACACTATTACATTCTCTATTTTTCCCCTGGGACTTTTCCCTTTTTGGATTTGGACTCTACAGCTAGTCCAGCTACGGAGACTCAAGACTACTGTAGCCATCGCTCGTGACGTTTTTAGAGGAAAAGGTGCCAGGCCTCAGACATTTGACGCATATTGTGTTTGACTAAATGTTGAAAGGATTTTTAAAAATCTGTATATAGGCTACACATTTTTAAAGTTGAAAAATGTAAGAATCACCTCAGGCTTACAACACTGAAAACATTACAAAAAATAACAGTTATTCATTTCTGTATAATTTTCTTTCAAAGCCACAAGGAGCCACTGGAGAGGGGCTAAAGAGCCGCATGTGGCTCTGCTTCCTCACATTACGCTAACATTTTTGTCAGCAAAGAGACCAACCATAACCCAGTTTACTGACAGGGTAACAGGGCATGCAATGGGGTCAGAGATATGATAATTTTTTTCCTCCACATTTGAATGGTTGGCTCTATTACGGATGACGCGGTTAAAGTTGTTAGCTGGCTCAATATTGTTGTCAAACATTGAGCTAGCTCAGGAGTCTTCTTGTGCTACCTTTAATTAGGGCTGGGCGGTATTTGCAGTGACGATAACTTACCGCAGTAAACATGAGCCGCGGTATTGCTTTTGTGGTTACCTTCATACCGCAGTACTGCGGCTACGGCGGCAGAACGGGCCCGGCAGCACCTCCCTCACTACGTGATGGAGGTGGCCTGGCCGACCGCACCAAACCCAGGCCCGAGGGAGCCGCCGGCCCTCCCTCTTCCCTCAAACGTTTATACATACTATATAACGTTTTATACACAATAATAAATGGATTAACCACCGTTTTACTTCTGATGATAAATATTTTCCATCCTAGACTTGTATGGCTTTTTAAATTGTTTTATTTAAGGTGTAAAAAAAAAAGAGAGAAGACTATACCACGATATCATACTGTCATCCCCCCAAAATAATACCGTGATATTGATTTTAGGCCATACTGCCCAGCCCTACCTTTGATCAAATCACAGATAAACACTTAAGTGTTTTAATCATGAGTCAAGGCCTTTACACACAGGGGGTGTTTTTTTACGGTTAATTCCATAGACTGTAAAAATAATGGGTGTAACTACCATGACGTCACCAATTGGTTTGTGGACTCCCGTTTTGAGGACTCGATTTCAGCATTAAGGCTGTTGCAATGTCTTTTTTTTTTTTTTTTTGGAGCCAGACATGACCATATTTGGGCGAGAGGCTAGCACTGTAGAGGAACCAGGATGGATCTAACTGAGAAGCTGCAGATACAATTAGCAGACAGCCTGTCATTCAAAGCAGCCTGACTTTAAGCCTTAATAAATTTAAACGGGTGAATTATATAAAAACTCACCCCCCTTACAGTTGTAATAGAGAAATTAGCCATAGAGACTAAAATTAGTACCAGACTGTAAATATGTTTATTTCTGCTGTAAAGTTTATAACAGTTTTCCACGTTGGCCTAATTTTCCAGTCCTGGAGGTTGCCCTTTGTTTGATTCGTATGTCAAAATATTCAATTTCAAACTTTCTGTTTTTGTTATGAGTAGGCAACTTTCACACCGAATGTGAACAGATGAAAAAAAGTGACAAACATTCTGAACATTTGCACCATTCGTCAATAAAGGCATCAACCAATCCCAATGTGTGGACAAATATCACATCACATCATCAGGACAATGACAGACCTGTTGCAACTGTCACAAGTTCACATCAAACCCTGTGACATGTCAGAATCCCTGCCCCTAAATTCAGACCGCTCAACGCTTTTCAGTTGGTCTTTTAAAGAGGAATAAATCCGTCAGTGCTCTCTGGAAGACAAGCTTTAATGGTGACACTTCCTCAGTTACCTCACATATACATTTCTGATCTGCAAGTTCTTTCTTTTCTTTCATTTAATCATCAATCAGTAAATATTGACCTGATTCAGAGTTCCATCACATGAACAGGTGCTTGTATTTGCCACAACTTCAAACAAGGCTCAGCCAATCAGCGTTCAGGACTGAAACAACATATCTGTTTCATTAACCACAAAATATTACTGAACAGCATTCAGATTCCACTTGTGGTTGGCACAATTATATTTCCCTCATTCCCCTCTTTTTCCTCTGTCTCCATGAAGTGGCAGGGAGAACTGGCAATGCCGCAGAAGTTTTGTAGCCAACTAGACGCACTCTAAGAGCACTTACACTGAGAAAGACAAGACTTCTACGCTGAGATCAGCCCCAATGGATCTAATGACTTCAAAGCCTCGAGGCAGTATGGCTCCAGGCGGTTGGTGACACTCACATCCTATCCTATACAGAACATGCAAACACACAGAGATCCTGTGCAAAAGCAGCTGGATGATAGCCTCGGGGTCTGTCAAGAAGGGCTACATGGAGTTGATGCAAGAGACGCACGGAGCACGTTTAACACCACAAACATGCGTGTTATCAATTAAGCGGTATTTCTCTTGAAATGTTTCAAGGTAAAGCCGAGGAGCATAAACTATGGGTAGATAGTTAGATAGCGGATTTACAGGGAGGGATAAAACAAATGA